CATATGGTTTCTGTACTCGAAAACGAAAATATAGCTGCGTATGTATTGGTTATCAAGACAGAAAAGAATTTTTTTGTAGAGATTGCCTAAAACCAATGCTTCCATTTTTTCTGCTACGCAATGAGAGAGTGAGCAGGAAGAAGAGAGCGTATCTGAGGGAGTACAAGAGGCTGGAGAGCGTCAGATACCAGTATATGTACTGTGAACGAGAGATTGAATCGGTCTTTGCAATGCCCTAGCGCCGTTGTTGCGCACTCCGAAACAGGAAGAACGCTAAATTTGCTACCTTCGTGGAGAGCTCTATTTCACCCACCACAAGTAATCCTCCATCCAAAATCCTCGATTATTGCTTAAAGTTGCCCATTTGAGCTCTCTTGGAAACTTCCGGTCCATGGTATAGAGCTCTTCCTCTATTTCGTTGGCTATGCGGAATATGACATACATAGAAAATTGTAATTTGTCGTCTCAATATCGTCATTACTGATATTGGAGGTGGATGTTGGCAATATTGACGATGCCTCAGAACTCTTTAATGTTTCAGGAATGGCTCCTTATTCGATAATGGTCACAGGGGCCAATCGAGGCATCGGTCTCGGCCTAGTGAAGGAGTTTCTGAAAAACAAAGAAATCTCCCATGTAATTGCAACTGCTCGTGATCCAGACAGCGCCAATGTGAGTCTCTTCTGATTGGCATTGGAATCACACATTCATTTTGTGAATTATTAATACGGCGAGAAGGATATAATATTGCAAATATTATACTTCCATTGTGAAGACTGTCCTACAGATGCCACTACGAAAATATTTTGAAACCCTTAAAATGCATGCACTGGGCACTGACGATGACCACTATACTCACAAAGGACAAGATTTGCTCCACTATTTTATCAGCTTCGGTCAAGCCCTTGTTTGAACTGTCCTTCGATCTTGAGGGCACCATCGCTCAAAGTGTTCAATCGTCTAATTGAATGATTAATTTGGACATTTTTGGAACGAAATCAGCTTCCAATATGCGAAGAAGTTTCTGCACGTTTAGAAAGTGCAGATGCAAAAACGATGACTCACATGGGCTGTGCTCATATGAGAAGGCTTCAACAGTAAGTAATGCATTCTAATCCCATTTACAAAAACAAGAAAGTACTGTTTCGAATTCTCAACTTTACGTGCAGAGCGGGTGATGCTGTTGACGATCTGCACTGATTGAGTGAACCAAAAAGTATTTGGAAGTTCTACGTCATACTTTATGCCGTTGCTAACTAGTAAATAGGGGATTCTGAATTATCTGTTCCACTTTTTAGCTATTGAGGGAGATAAGCGATCCTCGGCTGAGCATCGTGAAGTTGAACGTGACTTGCGACGACTCCATCAGGAACGCTTACACGGAGGTATTAGGTGCTTGAAATTATTACAGGCGATCTTGCACTGATACTTCCCATAGCTA